AGGAGGAGGAGGAGGAGGAGGAGGAGGAGGAGGAGGAGGAGGAGGAGGAGAGGGAGGAGGAGGAGGAGGACGACGATGATGATGATAGACTGTTTCCAATCGTGGTACTTTGCGCCTGGCTACGAAAACTCATTTTATCGTCCCAACCCTCACCTTTCTACGTTCTCCTCCTTCTCCTCGCTTCTCAACGCCTGGATGGAGTTTGCTATTCTTGCAGCGCCAGCCACTGCCTGCGCGCAGCGAGCCAGGTAGTCCCCACTCCGACTACGACGGCGTAGAATCCGACGACTCTTTTTTCCCGCCAGAGGAATGGGACTGGCTCCAGGAGCTGGGGAGGGGGATAGTAATTAGGCGGGGGCGATGATCCAGCTCCAACTCGCATGGAGGAGGGGAGTGCTTCTCGATAGGCAGGAATTGAAGAGGGCAGGGCCCTGAACGAGCCTGGGTGGACATCTTGCCAGCGTGGGTGAGCGAAGGACGACCTTACCCTATGCGTCTCGTCTTTCGGAAGTTGGTGAATGTGTTGGGTTCAGGATACTCTCGACCTTGTGCTGAAGGCGATCGACCCCAGAATCTGTTGTCGTAAAAAACGGCCTCGTGACAAATTATGACTGGTTCTTCCCACGAATCATGACAGTTTTCGAGCTGGACCTAACCGTGGGTGCCCCCAGGATCCGACACCATGTCTCGAGCTGAACGGTGCTTGAGCGATTTCGAGGACCGTCCTCGTTTTGATGTTGTTTCGCAGTAAAAGGCGGAGCGAAGACAGAAAGAGGGAGATCAAAGGCAAAACGAAAACCAAGAACACTGTTTACACGTCGGTCGTTGAAAGTAGGTATTTCTGGATCCCAGATCATAATCTACTTCAAGCGCCTTCCTGCTTCAAGAATCGACGCGCTTTTGCCGAGTTTTGTGGTTCCCCCGGAGGCCCTGGACCCAATCTGCTGTATCCGCCTTCCTGCCTCACGTTTTCGCCTGCTTCTTCCGACCGACGTGCAGCTCGAACCCTGCCTGACTCGAGGGGACAACCGTGTTTTTTTGTTTTGTTTCTTTCATCGCGCTGCGGCGTGAGGGCTGCGCTGGTCTCGGGGAGGCGGCGGTGCCCCCTCGGCTCGCGGGGCCTGCAGAGCAGCGCGCCGGTGCAGGAAGGCTTACTTCGGGCCTGTCCCTCTACAGGAGGAACACCAAAACATGTAAAAAAGCCTGGGGGCGACTTTTGACAATTGACTATTTTGATTTTTTTTGATTATTTTTCATCCCCTGTGTTTTTTGTACCTTGACTCCGCAGATCTGCGTGAGGGGTGTCACCGAATTTCAGAAATGTGGCAAATCCCCCGTGTTTTTGGACCCTGACCCTACGGATCTGCGTCTCGGGTGCCACCGGATTTTAGAAATGTGGCAAATCCCCTGTGTTTTTGGACCCTGACCCTGCCGATCTGCGTGAGGTGTGTGAATCTTTAGCCACCCCAGCAATTCAGACAACACGCTCAGGGCGTGGTAAAAATGTCAGTTTTGGGCCTCCCCCCCTCGCGCGGTCCATCAACAAGGAACAGTATGCAGCAAGAAGCAGAACTGTAACAAGGAACAGCAAGCAGCAAGAAGCAGAACCGCAACAGTGGAAACTGGAAGCTGCACCTGGTACAGGAAACTGCGAACCCTCGTCCTACAGCCTGGTGGCCCCGCAAGGGGGCCGGCGGAGTTCTTCCAAACTCCGCCCGTAGGGGGACATGCCAAACCCAATGCCAGTGCAGGAAGGCAGATCTCGCTGTGCCCCGGGGCGGAGGCCATTGGCGGAGCGGGGGGGGCGTCGTGGCTGCATGGGTCTGGCGCTCATCAGGCAAGCTCTCGGGGGAGGAGAAGGAACCCATGCCGCTGCCCTTCGCCCGTCTTCCCCCTCCTGTGGCCTCCTGGGAGGCCCTCGTCGCCACCGCTGGAGTCGGCTCGAACTTCTGGTCAGAACACACCCGGGGAAGGTCCGGGGAGTAGCGGTATCGGTACCTTAGCTGTTCTGTTGGCCTCCCCAGGTTCGCGCCCAGACACGCTCATATGATTAGGATTCACGGGGATCATGTCATTCCGCCTGCCTCTGAAATGTGGAATGGGTGAACGTGCTTCTATCCGCTTCTGGCATCCCCAGCACCCCATCCACAAACGATGCCCATGCGAGCAGGCAGGAGAATGGAAGTGTATAATGTGCAAACATACGGTGATGCAAACATACGGTGAAACAAAACGGCCAGCAATGCTGAACTTAGAGACCTCTTGGAGACCTCTTGGGGCCCGTTTTGGAGCCGTTGAGGTCCCCTTGGAACTTTCTTGGGGCAATCTTGGGTGCCCTTTCGGAGCCATCCTGGAGGCATCTTGGATGCCGTCGATCCAAGTGCTGAGTTAGGTTCCCCCGCTTGAGCCCGACAATTCGCCTCGTTCGGGCCCTCTTGGGACACTCTTGTGGCGGTCGGGGGGGCCTTCGAGGCTGTCTTGCAGCGATCCTCGGCTCCTC